CTAAATGGTGACAGACTGTGTGGAAAACAGAAGCATGCTCTTCTCTGCAGCCTATGGAATACGAATGTAACCCTGAAGGGTAATGTTAGTTTTCTGTGCCACAGATCCATGTAAACCTATTTCATGGATCTTTTGTCCCTAAAGACTTTGCTGTAAGATAACCAACATGGATTGAGTTTTTCCCTTTGAAACCTAATTTCATGAAATGTACAACAGACCCATGTTTTCCTGAGGTAAATCAAGAATTGCTCTTCCACAGAAGAAAAGTGACAACCAGCTGGAGGTACTATGTTTGCATCTAACCTGCTCTGCATCATGTCAGGGAGCAGACATGATACCTAACAAGAAAATGCCCTACCAAAGATCACATATTGTATCTAGGAAATGATGGAAACCTCAAATTAAAATGATTCATTTATTAGACAATATTAAGAATGGAAATACTTGGCGGTTTAAGAATGAAACTTTGCAGAAGTAGCAGCAACGGAAGTTGCTAACAGTTGTGGTCTGTTAGGGGAGCACATGAGCCTTGTGTTCACTGCATCAGCTCAGGTATGTCTGAATTAGAACAGGGAAAACCAGGTGAGTGGTTTGTGTTTGGAGATACTGACTTCATCAGTGGTTCCAAATTCAATTCCAAATAATACTGCTGCAGTATTTCTCTGCCCAGGAAATGAACATTATCCATTCACACACAGACATGGCAATGTTAAACAAGCAAAATGGGAGAATTTTCAATTCCACCAAGAAAGCAGAATATTTAGTAAGTGGCCAGGGAGAACTCTGGGAAGCAGTGACGTGAGGGTCCCATGGCCTCTGTCCCTGATGACCCAGTTATTATTTGATTTATGTTGACTTGCAGCTGCCCTTGCTTCGACCCCAGCAAAGGCTGTGTGGGAAGTTTGTGTCTCCGGGCGTAGCATTGCTCTGCGCAGTGTCTGGAGCCTCGTGTACGCTCCGAAACTGATAAATAGGGAAAAGGCCTCGTTTGCTCCAGCTGGACTCAGACTTAGAGCAGCACTGCAGCCCAGCGGACTCAGCTCTGGGAGGCAGAAACCCTGCAACTACCGTAAGTATTTCATGTACTTCTCTGTCTGCTCTGGGCTTACAAACTGTTGCTTTGGCCATAAATCAATGTGCCATGTGAAAATACTTCAAGCATTGGGCTTTTTTTTTCTTTTTCCTTTTTTTCCCTTTTAAACATCTGACTAAATGAAAATAGAAGAGACTTTTAAATTTGGTATCCTACTGCCAAGAATTTGTTCTGACAGTTCTTCATTTGACATGCAGAGTGAAGTAAAATGACTTCTAAATTCCGTTACTTGTTTCCCTTCCCCAAAGTACCTGGAAAACTCAAAGTTTCAAACAACTTCTAACCTCTTATCTTACAATGTATGAAGATTATACCTTTGAAATAATTATTCATGGGGTAGCAATTCCAAAAGATGATTTCAAGAAAACTTCAACACAGTTAGTGAAATAAGTCAATTCCTTTTATGGTGATTATATGACAAGGAAAGGATATGTTTAATGAAAAGGAAAGTGAGATTTCTTCAAACAGCAGCTTTGGGGAGCTTCTTGGAACATTAAAACTGGGAGAAACAGATATAACCTTAATAATGCATGTACACGGCATATAGGATGGATCAAGGGATCCTACAACTTGTGCTACGAAAGAATTCCTTAATGACAGTAATCAGTGATTACTGAATTGCTTGAGTGAAACCAAACAGATCATCTGGCAGTGAGCATATTCCCACCAACTGTGCTCAGTTATCATTTGTTTCAGGTTTTGGTTTAAATTTCACTAATGAAAAAACTAAGCTATGCTTTCCAGAAGCAAAAAGAGTCCAGTGATTAAGACCGAGCCTGAAACGTGCTATCTGGCTCCACTACATGATCAGTAATGTGCCACAAGGTGAGTTAAATAAATGTTGGAGACCTTCAGCTTGAGTTCCTAAAATGCCCTGTAAACAAGAATTTTCCCTATGACTCAGCTGTCAAAATATTTACCACAGCAGTTGAAATACTGTCAATACATACCTCTTAAAGACGCCCCAGAGCCTCTTCTACAAGTAGATTCTGCATGTTAACAAACTGGGTAAGTTGATGATATGTTACTTTACCATATGGTATTTTAGAGCCATAGCAATGGTAAAAACGTCTTTCACCATAAATAACAATAAATAGATGTACTGTGTGTTCTAGTCTGAACATGTACATTCTGTTAAGTGTCTGGTTTGTGGTTCTACTTTACTTTTATCAATCATTGGGTTTTGTTTTGTTTAATGGCTTCCATCTTTGATAAACTGAGAAGTCATTCAGTCAGGACTAAGAACTGAATGTGGGTGAATTTCTGTATTAGATGCGTAATCAACCGCTTCAATCAACATACGTTCCAGTTTATATTGAACATTAGTAGTTCAGAAGACTGATTATTGCAAAACTAAGCCTGGAAAAGTGGAACATTTTTAACCGTGCTTAAGCAACCTAGAGCCCAGGACACATCTTCTGGGAAAAAAGATAAAAACCCCAAACTCCACTTGTACACTTACAGAGGCTTTTAAAATTGTAACCAAACAGACATGACACTCCCCCCATCAGGATTTCACACATAAAAATACCTAGCTGAAACAGCACCTTGGAAGTAACTGAAAAGAAGGAAAAGCAGGGAATAGCTTTTATGCAGATGACCTTTTCTTTCAGGTCAGTATGTCTGGCTAAAGACTACAGACTTTCATTCTGTGTTACTACTTGTAATTCTATGAAACAAGTTATTGAAAAAGTCTTTAGGTTTCAGTTCCACTTCTTAAGCTACAGACCTTTATGAACCAGCTCTTCAATCGCAGAATCACAGAATGATTAGGATTGGAAAGGAGCTTAAGATCATCGAGTTCCAACCCTCAAATGTATTTCTTTCTTTTTGCTTCCTTTTTAAAGCACACTTACACAAAACATATGGCTGTGTTTTGAGTACACAAATATGGGGCACAAAAATATTTTGGTTTGGAAACAGCATGACTGCAACTGCCCCAAGCCCCCAGAGCTCTTCCTCCAACGTCATTTCAACTTTGTTCAAGTGATTATATTTTGAAAATTACAATCAGGCACATATTACATTCCGACCAGGATTCCACAGCCTCCAGTGTGGAGCTGAGCTCTGTGTGTGTGCAGAATTTACTTGCCTACATGGCAAAGGATTAATGACAATATGTGTGGGCTGAACATATGTGTGGGTCCTTTAAGTCACTGTTCACCTCCATGAGGTGAGAGAGATCAGGGACAGCTACTGTTCTTTCAGCAACTCCTCAAGTCTGGAGGAGGTTTCCCTGTTGCTGATAGACTCATAAAAAGGGCGAGGCAGAGGTTGCAAGACGTGACTACAACAGTCAATCTTAGAAATAACTAAAACTTACCCTGTCCTAGAAAATTAAGTTAATACTTTACATATCTTAATCTGATCTTTATATTTTTTGTTTTAAAAAGCCCAATACAATTTTATATCAGAAGAACAAACTTGTTAACAGTGAATTCTAGAGTGTCAGAAAATGAAACAGTGACATTCATGTGCAGGCATGACCATTAGTCTTGTTTCAGGACAGTACAGCATTCTTCAAATAACCACTGGATTTACTATTAATACTGTTACAACATTCTCTTAATTTAAGAGTTTTAATTTACAAAGTCTTGTTCTAAGCTGCGAATTCTGTGGTTGCAAGTGATAACTTTTATTAGCCAGAAAAAGCCAGTAAGAAGGGCTAGATCCTCAATCTGTTCTTAGACAATACTGAAGTAGAGAGAACTTTGCCTAATCAAAGTCTGCTTCCAAGATTTAGAATATTTAATCAAGCCACCACCTTGTGTTTGGCAATATGTACTTCATATTTCCAATATAATACTTTTCAGACTAGGTTGGTGTTATTTTATATTAGCTTCTATTCTTCTATTATCTTTATTTAAAGAAGCTACTGGAATCCAGAAGTGCGTTTCTTCAGCAAATACACATTTTTGGGGAAAAATGTAGACTTTGCCCAGGCCAAACTGATCTAAGCGATAAGGACCTCATGTTTCAGTGAGTCACTTCTCTCTCAAACAAATATTTACTAGCAGAGATAACAAACCCCCCCCCCCCAGCATTCCAGCCTCACTGCATCTTTTCACCTTCTGCTAACAACATGAAGAGAAAGGGTTCAGTTCCAGAGATTAGTCCAGTTTTGGGGGAAGGGGTGTGTGTCTTTGAGGAAGTACCCTTTGTTACGGTGAAAGTCAAAGCATCTAACCAGCCCAGGCTCCTTCACTAACCAAGGAGCAGAAAAAAGCTCTCTAGAGGGCAATTTCCTATAGGAAATTTATGTTTTTTGGTCTTCACAGGGTGCTTTGTACTTTTTAAGGAATACACGCTCTTAAATATAAATCAGGCAGTGCTTAAATGAGGCTAATCTGACTTTTACTGCACAAAAGAGTATTTACGTGCAGATGAAGTTATTCTATTCTGGCCTTTCCAGGCTGTTTTCATCTATATACTTCAGATTTGAGTAAGAAGTGAACAAAGCAAAATCAGTAAAAGGCCATGTTTGTGCAGAAACAGAACATCCACCACATCCACACTAGTGCAAATGCCCAAATTCATTCTGAAAGGAAGTTTTCTCTATCCAGCAAAGCTCCGTTTAATCTCTTCCTGAACTAGAAAACTTACAAATGATCATTCTGATTTTGAGTAAAATTCAGAGCAAAACAGTTCTAACTATAACTTGCAAATTTAGGAATGTTCTCTATCCTGAATCTGTACTGTTAGGAAAGGAAACATTTTGCAACCTCTCTGAAAGTATTATGTGACTTCACAGGTTTTCTTATGATCTGAAAATGTTCCATATTCTGGAGTTTTCTGGGTTTAGCTCTGTAGCTAACCCTACCCAGCAGTTCTTTCTCACATGATTATTTCACTTACTTTTCCATTTCTCTAGATTGCCTTCTTACAAGTCTATGACACAGCGAAGTGAATGAAACAGCGCAGTTGGGAGCAGAACATGGCAAATACATTTGTCACTGTACCGGATGGGTATTACCTGCCTGAGCCCGTCCAGTATTATGGTGAGTAAAAGCAAAACTTCTATATTATGAAAAAGCAGTATAGAAAATGAACATCTGTGGGAATTCCTATTATTTTCTTCATTGTAGTTTATCTTTACAAGCTCTTGGAAGCTACACATTTGTCTATGAAGCTCACACTAAATGTGAAAAATATTAGCATGTGCTCAGACAGAATTTGTACACAACACAATCATGCTGACTGATCATTCCACATAAACATTACTGCTGCTGTCTCCCTCTGACTTGCGTGAAGAAGATAGATGGTTTATTACAGTATCCCAGCTACACTGTACACAGAGAATGGTTATTCTATATCTTATATAATTGCAATAACTAGTTTGATTCTGGAAGAGGAAAAGCAGAACCCAAAGCCCATTAAAAAACCTTCAAATTGCTTAAAACCCAAACCCGAACCACCCCGAAATAAACCCACAACAAACTTTCCAATTTGTGTTTACAGAGATTTACAATCCCAAAGGAAGACAGAAATATGATGCATGTTGCGCAAGCTTTCTTCAGTATAGCTGTATGCATTTAAGGAAGGTTGGATAAAATTAAAGACAGAAAGGCATGAAGAAGCTCTCTTCATAATTCTGTACCTACATTTTGCCAAGATAAAACTTAACTGCAAAGGATTATATGTGGAAAAATGCCAAATAAAGCAAGTCTTTGCTTTTCACTCAACTGAATTTCAACTTGAAGTCTCCTGTCATAATAATTTTTACCCCTCTGCAATTTCTGGACCATCCTGCTCAGGCTCTTGTTCAACACTTCCAGAATTATGCATGAAATATGTAACAGTAACAAACACTTCACTGATTAACAGATTCACTTGCTTATGGGAAAATATTCTTCTGTAATGTGGGCAATTAATAAAAACAGCCATTAAGTGTAGTATCATCAATTGACAAGTGATACTCAATTATGTCCTAATAAGAATCCAGTGGCACACAGATGACATGGCCCAAACTGTTACGAAGCCATTTCTACTACATCTAAGATTTTACTTTAAAACATTACAGGTAGCACATTTAAAAAGAAATTATCAGACTGCTCTTCTGAAAATGTGTTCCTCTACTATTTGTGATTAAATTTTTACTCTATAAAACATTTTAAGACATTCAAGTAGCTGATGTATTCTTCAGTTTTTCATTTCCAGTTTCTCCCGTATCTAGATGTTCTGCCAGAGCACATCAACTATCAGCTGCAAGACACCGACTTTCAGACTGCTCCTTATTGCCAGTACTCAACAGCTCAAATTCCTCCTCCAGTATTACAGCCCCAACCTCCCCACTCCCAGTACAGCACATACAGCCTGGACTCTCAGTACAGCGACGGGCAATGTGTCATCAGCAGCTGTGAACTAAGCAAACCCCCTTTCATGGCTCCCCATATGGATGATGGAGGATACCAAGGATTAAAACGGCCAAGATTAAACCACTCTTCTTTGAGACTGAAGGGGCAGGAGGAGCTGTGTGTGGTGTGTGGTGACAAGGCCTCGGGCTATCACTACAATGCACTTACCTGTGAAGGCTGTAAAGGTAAGAGGAGAACAGGCTGATCTGTACCTTAGGCAGGACCATGGGCCCACAGCGCTCAACAGTGTTCCACATCTGTGATTTAAGCAAACAGATTTCACTGGGTTTTAAGCTGGTGTTTCTACAGAGGATTTTAATTTACCAAAAAAACCTTTCATCTAAGATGCTTACTCCAGATTCCCGTTTCATACTATTTTTTGAAGAAACGCTTTCACAGTGTCTATTTAATATGAGCACTTCATTTTTGCCTTGATTATTCACTAGAATAGTGTCAGTTAAAGCAGGTGCTGATTTTCTGATGCCCATTTATTATAGATATATTTCAGTGTTACTAACTTCACTTATTTTTAAAATTAAATAACCCAAGTAATAATTACGTGCTACTGATTTTAACTTATTATGTGGGAGCTGTCTTGACCAGGTAAGGAACACAGCAATTAATATTCATCAGAAAGTCCAAGACATTAACTGTGTTGCTAAAAAGCAAATTTCAACTCAGGGTAATGTTTCCACTGTAAAACAAACAAAACCCCGAAAGACATTTACTTCTTTAAATCATTATGAGATAAAGCTCCTTAGATTCCTTCAGTCATAACCTGATCCTTGTCTGCAGGCTTCTTTCGACGCAGCATAACCAAAAATGCAGTGTATCGATGCAAGAATGGTGGTCACTGTGAGATGGACATGTACATGCGAAGGAAGTGTCAGGAATGTCGCCTGAAGAAGTGTAAAGCTGTGGGAATGCTAGCAGAATGTAAGTGCTCCTTCCAAGCTGGCTCCTTTACTCATCAACTCCATAAAACCTTTTCCAAAACCAATCCCGTTTCCTGATTAGAGCTAAATAGTGTTGTTCTAAACTTCATTTAGCTGTAGGAAAACTGAACTTTGGAGCCTGTGGCACCTGTAGCATCTTCATCTGAAGAAACCACCAATGCTCGGGAAGTATCTCCTGAAGTCAAGAGGCTGTTCGAAGACATTACAAGAAAAAATAAGAAAGCACAAACAAGACACAGCTAAATACCCTGAACCTTGACAGGGCAGTAGGAAGCCTATCAGATGTGCTTTTGTGTTTGGAAAAAGTTATTATTATACTCTTCATGAAAAATTCTTGTTTCTCTATCACAGAGCCACAAGCAAGAAGCCTGCAAACACACAGGTCTTTGCTGGATACTAAACACTAACTCACCTAATGAATAACACATTGTCATATTCTCTAGGAAGCATAACTCCTTATACGTGTGTGCTCCTGTGATGCAAGACTTGTGTTATCTCCAATAATAAATGATTATTTCAAATTATAATTATTTGAAAATACACATATTGACACACACTTCCATGCCTCCCAGGTTTGCTGACTGAAGTACAGTGCAAGTCAAAGCGGCTCAGGAAGAATTTCAAACAGAAGAGCAGTTTTCTTTACAATATAAAGCTGGAAGAAGGGCTGAATAGTAAACATGTATCATCTACAACAAGATCTGGAAAAGTGGGATATTTTTCTTTTTAAAAGATCTCTTTTTATAACTTATTTTTGCCCCAAGTCATTATCACTGCATTGGTTTATTTTTTTTTTAACAGATCCCAGAGAAGATGGAACTTACTCCGGGGGAGCATCAGCTTCTGGACCACATTGTAGCAGCACACCAAAAATACACAATTCCCCTGGAGGAAGCAAAGAAGTTTGTATGTACACAAAACAATCAGCCTGTATTGCTAAGTTGTTATCATCCTAAGCACTGTACCCTTCTTATATCAGATGTCTAAATGCTCTTTCATGCAGCTACAAGAAACTGCAAGTCCTGAGGAAAGTTTTCTCCGTCTCTCCGAGACAGCAGTTGTCCATGTACAAGTGTTAGTGGACTTCACAAAAAGACTTCCAGGTAATATTTTCCTTTGGGAAATATTACAGAACAGTGTGAGTTTTTTTCCCAAGAGGCAGGAACCATAGTGATGGCATGAATCCAAGAAAAACACAGGCTTCAAGAAAACTCTCATTCGACTGACCAGTTTTTCTTCCAACTGTAATGATCAGGGTTACCATTTACTTGTCACAAGGACAAGTTAGAAGGATTCACTGCAAAAGCTTGCTAGGATTAGATTTCTTTTCTTTTTCTGACATGGAGTAGAGACATTTTATGAGAAGTACATGGACTTCAAACTACCATCCTGAGTGAATTACTATTTCAACACATTCTGAAACCCACTTCACTTCGCAGTTTATCATAATCAAAGAAAAAAATAGATGTTCCTTCAAAGGAAAATGCAGCACAGAAGGGACTAGCCAGCTCCTGTTCATATTTTCCTTTAATAAAGGACAAGGGAACATGCAGTTAAATTTCAGTGTGAAGTTGACAAACATTTGACTGGGATGGTGATAATTCTTTCATTACTCTTAAGTTGTAAAATTTACTGAGAAAAGTCAATCAGCATGTCTAAAGCAGATATTTGATGTAATTTAGCACTACCGTGGAACAGATCTGAAAGAACAGATGACCTCTTTTCCTATGTTACATACCTGGCTTTGATCAGGACTAAGAAAAGAATCAATAAAGTTCCTTTACTCTTGAATTCTAAGTGCAGACAATAAGCTTGTCAAAAGATGAACACAACTTGTAAAAAGATCAGATACGAATGAATAAGGGGGAAAAATACCCATGCTCACTAAGTGATGTAGCAAATTTAAAAGGTATTAGGCCATGTGATATATATATATATAATCGTAGAATCATGGAATGGTTTGGTTTGGAGCAGACTTAAAGTTCATCCAGTTCCAACCCTGTGCCATGGGCAGGGACACCTTCCACTACAGCGGGTTGCTCCAAGCCCCTGTGTCCCACACTGCCTTGAACACTGCCAGGGATGGCACATTTACCACTTTTTTGAGCAAGCTGTTCCAGTGCATCACCACTCTGACACTCTCATGTAAAGAATATCTTCCTTATATCTAATCAGATATTAAGAAGAAATTTTGCTTAAAGGCAGCCACAGCCTTTCTCGATTCTTATCATGTATCTTTCTCTGCAGGATTTGAAAGTTTAGCTAGTGAAGATCAGATTGCGCTGCTAAAAGGGTCAACAGTTGAGGCGATGTTTTTGCGTTCAGCCCAAATATACAACCAAAGAATGAGTGAATGCCAACCATCAACAAGTGAAAGTAAGTTTGACTAACAAGCTTTGTACTAACACCAGGAGGAGGTGCTGCCAATTTGAAACAACTTCCATTCGTTTTAAGTGACTTACTTAAATAATTTCCTATTCGACTATACTGGTACTTAACAATAGTGCCAGTTATGCCTACATACCTTCTATTGGCTTTTTATCCCCAAAGATCATTAAAATAAAACAAAAATCAATCAAATCTGTTTTCCTCCCATTAATTCTAAATAAAGAGCAACATTTTTGAGTGTTAGCACAAATTGTGGAGTGGATGGATCATATTAGCTATATTAATGATGTATTAGATACTGTGCCAACACAATAGAGACACAAGAGACTTTGACCACCAGTAATGAGCAACCACTGAACTTGGTGCTGGATGCCAGAAAGAACAATTCTTTTCTGCCTGCATAGATCTGGGACAAGTTCACACATTTTTGTGTATATATTTGAAAAGCAGATGCAGACAAAGTTTAAAGTCACATTAAGCTTGACTGGGAGCTGTCACCCGTCTTGTTCCAGGTCACGTAAGGCTTTCTGATCATGGGACATACTGTCACATTCAAAACCTTGATAGAAACAACATTTACTCCATGGAAATATCTCACAATGAAGAGAGTCCAACTTCCACTACTACCACAGGTAATCAAGGTCCCAGAATCAAAATACCTGGGAGTCTTACTTTGCTAGCCCTGTTCTCAATCACACCGAGCAACAGTTGGTGTGGCCACTGCTCATTCTCTTCTCTTCCTCTCCATTCCGTCAAGCTGCTGTTACATGCCCAGGCATTACATCCTCATGGAAGGCAGAAGTTCATTTGCTTATATCCCAAGATAAAGCCTTGAGCTGTGTATATCAAAAGCTGCACAGTACAACCACAATACAACTTCTGCTACTACTTTAGAAATCAACATTGTTTTCACCACGTTTGCGAACGATTTCACGCAATAGCCCAGCCTGGAGCCTGGGATTAGGACAAAGACGATCCATAACAGCAGCGCCTGTTTCTGCATGGAAGTAACAGTCCGATTACTTTATTTCTCAGGTATAACCGAGGAGTTTATTACCGCGCTGTTTTACTTCTACAGAAGCATGGGGGAACTGAAAGTGACCGAGACCGAATATGCCCTGCTCGTAGCAACGACGGTGTTTTTTTCAGGTAACTGAGCTTCGGCTCGCCCTCCCCCGC